TTACGGTTAGGTTTAGGGTTAGCGTGAGGTTTCACGTTAGGGTAGGACTAGGATGAGGTTTACGTTTAACGTGAGGTTTGGGTTTATTTTGGGGGTTAGGTTTAGGGTCGGGTGTAGTGTTAGATTTAGGGTTACTATTAGGTTTAGGCTAATGGTAAGGGCTAGAATAGGGTTCTTATTAGGTTTAGGGTTTGGATTAGTATTAGGGTTAGATCTAGCATTATGCTTATGGTTAGGGTTAGGTGGTTTTTGTTTTTTTTAACATAATACCATGTTTTTAAAGTTTTCACAGCGTTAGGTTCCCATTTGGCGATTTCTCTACAGATTGTTCAGCGACATCAGTCACATTTTTCACAGTGTGGCAACATTCTGTTCGATTGCGTCCTGGTTGTTTCTCCGTTTCTCTGACATGCCGTACTTCCCCTTACACATCGTTTTTCTGCTTTTAAGTTCCTCTCGTGGAGGTTGCTTTAGTAAGAGGCTGGCGATAATGTGTGCTTTTCATTTGTCTGAAAGTGTCTTTGTTTCATCCTTGTTCTTGAAAGATGGTTTCGCTGGCTATTTTCTCTCAGCTCTTTAAAGGTATTATTCCGTCATTTTCTGATTCTGTTTTTCCATTGGTTTGTTTAGATGTTAGCTGTCACTGTAAACGTGGATGTCTTTTTGTTTCCTCTCTTTCTCGCGCTGCTTTTAATATCTTGTCTTTGTTTTTTCTCCTGCAGTTTTCACTGAGATCTGACGGGGTGTGGATTTTATTTGGATTTATCCCACTTGTGAGTTGTTACACTTTCTGAGTCAGAAATGTTATGTTTCATCAATGACGGAAGCTTCTCGGCCATGATCGTATCAAGTATTGCTCCTGTCCCATCATCAGTATGTCTTCTGAACTTATGGTTAGGCATCTGTGAAGATCTTCACTTCAGCTTTTCTGTCTCTTATCTTCTCTTTCATTCTCTTTCCCTCGGTTACATTCAGTGGAATTCCTACACCTCAGCCTCCCAGCTCACTAATTCAGCCTTGTCTGTGATGTAATTTGTCCCATCCTCTGTGATTTTAACTTTCAATTATTATATTATTTACTTCTAAAAGTTACGGGTTTTTTTCTTCACATTTACCTAGTTAAATTTTATGGTCTCTTGATCTGTTCTCATACTTTTAACATTCAATTTAATTTTTGAATACTTTATACAGATGATATATTTGTCTCAATCCCTCCGATGTGTATAGACCGTGATGGTCTGATTCTCTTTGTTTCTGCTGGGTTTTGCTCATGGTGTCTCGTTTCTACATGCGTTTCATGATTTATTTGATTGTGAGCTCATGTTTGATGAGACTCTTTCTGGAAGTTCCTTTGAGGCTTGGGTTGAAGGTGACCCATGGAGAAAGGATTGGTTTGCTTCTTTGGGTCTTCTTTAAAATCAAACCCCAGCCTGTGGTTTCTTAGTTTCTCTTGTTCATAGAAAGTGTGAATCAGCCTGAAACTTCTGTAAGGCTTGACTTGTGCTGTATGAGTCCTCAGGGGAATTTTCCCCTCTATCCAGAGCGAATATTGATGCAGGCACATTTCCTTGCTGACTTCCTTTACAATGCAGGTCCCTTCTCCTTCCCCCTTCGCTGGGTGTAGCCTTTTATGATCCTGGCTTTATGCAGAGGTGTCTCTTGAGATTCGACTCCCTACCTTCCATAGGAGGGACCAGTCCCTGGAGAAGGACATCATGCTTGGTAAAGCAGAGGGTTAGTGAAAAAGAAAAAGACCCTCAATGAGATAGATTGACACGGTGACTGCACCAGTGGACTCAAGCATGACAAAGATTGTGAGCATGGCGCAGGACCAGGCAGGGTTTTGTTCTGTTGTCCACAGGGGTGCTACGAGTTGGAACTGACTCACAGCACCTAACAACAACAACCTTCCTCAGACCCTACGTTTTCTTTCCTGTTTCCACAGTGTTGCTACAAGCAGGGGTTCTTTGTCGTTTCTCTCTGACATCACCTTTGGGCAGCCATTGGCTTTAGCACCTGCTCACATCTGGTTTTATACCTGCCCTTC